ATTTTCCTAATAAATGGAAATTGCATCGTTTCCTTAAGTATTTAGGTTATTGCACTGAAATAGCATCATGAACTCACCGCCACTTCTCTTTCCTGTTGTCAGGCTGGATCTCATTTAGTTACAGGAACAGGCACTAAAACAGGTTAGTTTAGACGTGTGATAGATATTAGTTGTTAGATATGTGTGCATTAGAAAGCTGAAGTGAGTCTGCTTAGCCCCATTACATTCTATGACTCATGCATGTGTGGGAAAGACCTTCTTTTCACAGAGATCTCTTAGATAAACAAGGCAAGTTGGCAGCAATTCGATTACACTGATGTTAAGCATCTCCTGCTTTCTGGTGCATTCATTTGGTTTGTATTTTCTGAAAAATGCAAGCAGTCTGATAAACTCTAATGAAAATTCTTGTACCAAGGACACATGACCTTTCATTTCAGTTACATTTTTTTAATGGGAGCAGCCTTAAAACCAGTTCCTAAAAATTCCTGTTCTGTTATTGCAGTAGAATCTACTTTAAAAAAAAAAAACAAAAACAGAAAAACCCACGTTTGTTAGTGAAGCTGTATCTCTTGTTATCCATGGCCATAACACACTAGCAAGATAATCTCTCCCACCTTCTCAACTTATAAGCTCCTAAATACTGTGGACTTTGAAAAGAAAATTGATTTAGCTTCCAAAATATTGGAAATTTTTGAACAGGATAAATTACAAAATATAATACTCTTTCACACCATTTCCCTCAAAAAGAAAAGCAAAGAAAGCATACCTTATTGTATTAAAGGACCATTAAAGTATATAAATCAAAGCAATCTTTACAGTATTAGAGAACTGTAAAAGCATACAAATAAAACCCAGATAGTTTTTTGCAAATCCATTGAGGCGTTTGCTCACGTTCTGAAAACCCACTGCTTTACACTGAAGGGAGTTTGTTCACATCACAGATCATTCATATTTTAATTGCAGTTTTATCATCTTTGAAATGAAACTTACTCAGATAATGTTCAGCAATCTTAGATTCACACACCCCTTGGCTTGTGTCAGCTAACAGCAACTAGATGAGTTGCCCATTTAAGGGAAAAACTACAGGCTCCAGCCTATTTCCCTGCACTTCACATGTGTTTGTCCCCCTCCTTCAGCAATTCATTCTGTAATGCCAAAAAGCATTTCTTCTCTTACATCTACTTGTGCCTTCAGGATATATGCTCTTAATGGTAGGAATTCTTTCATTCTCTGTATTTGCAAAGTGTGTAAATCATTTTGGAAGCAACCACAATCGATGCAATTTTACATATCACCTTTGAAAAAGATTTATAGTCCAGTTGAAGCACAATGAGTGTGATAGGCAAAGCCATCTTGAGTGTAAAAACAAACAAACAAAAAAAAAATACAAAAAAAAATTGTGCCAATTTGGAAAGACTCTGTTTGCATTGATTACAGTATTTGTTGTGTTACGATACTAAGAATAAAAAGTAATGTAGAAAATGCAGATTATCTGCAGAAGCTGAAAGAAGAGATTTAAAAAAATACAACACAAACAAGCCCCAAACCTCTAAGCAACTTCAAACTAGAGACAAGATTTTCACAAATCCATTAGGCATCACACAGTCTGCAATGCTAGAGACTCCCACTGCCTCTCCTGAACAGGAAATAAGAACAATTTTTCTTATCCTTTGGACACCAGTACCTCAAAGAACAATTACAGGATTGTGTTATAAGTTAGTTTGTTTCCAGTATCACTAACTTGGTACAAAAACCAACTACTAATTGAGAAGAAGAGAGGTTAAGAAATACTTATTATTTATAAAGCCAGTATCAAAATAACCTGTAATTCCAACTTCTCATCAGTTTAATGCAACAAATGATTTCTGAAATTTGCTGGTATAATGCATAAAATTAGGAAACAACTTTCAGCAGAAAAAGCTGGCAAAATGAGAGAAAAAGCGAATGAGCAAAAAAACCAGAATAAGATGACAAAACTGAAAAGTACGGGTATTTGTGCTTCTTGTAAGTGCTCAAATTTTAGCAGGTAACAGCACTATCTTGTCACATACATGTTTTTCTAGATTTCAGTTCTTATTTCAGGCTTTAAATATTAAATACTGTTGTTAAAATGGGAAATATGGATAGTTGAAGTTCCTTCTAATTTGTTTTTTTGTTTCATCTGGTGTATTCACAAACATTATAGCTCTAATCTCCAAATGGCATTTTAGATATGTAGAAGGGCAAAATCTCTGCTCCAAATTCAAATTATGTATTAAAACAGTATGGCAAGCTGCAACAGCAAGTCTTGAGAAAGGAACAAAAGAAACAGGAAATGAGAGAAAAAGTAAAATGTCTCTTGAGAAAAAAAAAATAATAATTGGATAGTAATAGAGATGATATCTTTTGTTAAATGCTCTTGAGAAAGCAGAAAATTTACTTACTAATTATTGAACACCAAGACCTGGTCATACTATACTTTAAGGAAAAAACACGACAGTAGAGTGGTGAGCTTTGAAGATGAACTTCAAGTCTCAGAAATTGGTGTTAAAAAGAACCAGACGTTCTATAAAGAGATCAAATAACTGAGGTGATGACAAATTACTCAGTTTAGATGCTGACTTTTACTGTGACTAGATTGGTTAAAAGAGGTCATAAATTGGAGTATTCTTATTATGAAGGTGAAAGAATGAGACACAGGCTGAGCTTAGAAGAGGATTCTCAATGGGAGGGAAACAGTCTTTAGCACCATGAATGGCATCATTCATTTTGCACAGCTATGGGAATATAAACAAAATCAAAATAATATAATAGGAAAAATAAATGAGTGTGCTTGTCTTCCAAGAAAATCTCTGCAAAGGAGAATATTGCCAAAACCGTAATGACTTTTTGATTTGATATAAAATTGAGCTTGGTTTCACAGTAATCATTAGTAGAATTGGCTATTCTTCAAAAATGAAGCCATCTGTTGAATAGCCACATTGCATATTCCAGAGATTTGATTGGAAAATCTCAGCGCCTCTTTGTGGACACCTGTTGAGAAGAGTAATTTTAGCCTCCTTCTCCATTTTGAAATGGAAAGGAAGACAGATGTACATAGAATCACAACTCCATGTGTTAGAATCAGAAGTTCCTATCAGAATGTTCAAAAGTCTTTTCATTTGATACAATTTTGCAGCTAATAAATTTGCTGTTAGCAGTTAAGAGCTTGGCTGATTGTAAATTGTGCAAGAAAATTAAAATTGTAAAATCATATGTTATACCGAGCAACAACTAAAAACACATTTTCCCACATTTTGTCATTTAAATGTATTCAGGAGGTCAAATTTGCCATTTCTCCATAGTTTTTATCATTTGCCAATTAATTCATTGAAAATAAGAAACAGTAACATTACTCGAAGTCAAGATTACAAGAACTGCACAAATCATATCATCTCAGCTTTATTTCTTATTGTACAGCTTTTTTTTTTTTTTATGAAAAGCAGAACTTTCTCACGATGTGTCTATATTAAAAAGTAATACCAAACTTTCCTTCTCAGATTCAGACTTGGGATACCATAGTGCTGTAGTAATTCCACAGTAATCATTATCACATTAAATCATGGCCACCAAAATGCATTCCTATTTAGTGCTTAAGTAGCGTGCCCCTGGCTTTGAAATGAAATGCAAACTATATGACTTTTGCTTTCAAGAATTTTTCTCTGTTCTAATTTATCTTATTTTTTCATAGGCAGTTACATTCCCAAACACCAAGTCAAAGTTACTTCAGAGCATTGTATTTTTATCCAATCTGTAAGCATGTCACTGCCTCAATGTGGTATTAATGTGATTTATATTGTATGCAGGCATGAACCCAGAATTATTCAGCTAAAGCAAGACCTTCTCCTGTACCTGAGGCAGCCCGAGTCCACAAACTGCGTGTCAAACTACAGACAGTCAGTACAGACTCAATCCATTCCTTTCTTAGGACAAACATATTTCAGCTGAGACAATTCCACATAAATCTGCAAACAGGGTTTTTGCAAGGGTTAAGTGCATTTTTTAAATATTTGCCTTCATAACTAAATTTGTACTACATTAATAATCCTTGCATCTTTTAAAAAATCATGGGTACTGAATGTATTTTGTTTGGAGAAAATGGCTTCAAAAGATGGGGGGAAATTCATTCTTCAATTGACCAAACAGCTTTTGTTAGTTTAGTCAAAGCAAATCATACGGAGCAATTCCTCCCTTAAATTACACGACCATTATGTGACCATAGGATATTCAAACAGATAAACAGGCTTCTATTGTGCTGTTGGGGTAAAAGATCTGAGAACTGGTTTCTTATTTATGTTCCTAAACGAAACACTTTAAGAGCAATACCCCAGCTCAAGCATACTGGGTTATAGTAAATGTAAGGTCAGTTTTTAGGAAGGTTGCATTATGCAGCTACTCAGTCAAACATAAATAAATATAAATTGATATAAATAAGTGCAAGAGGAAGAACCAAGAGCTGTTGTCACAAGGGTAGTAAGAAAGGTTCCAGGTGTGCCTGCATGCTTGGAGTTGTTAAGGAAACGAAAAGAACAAATGTCCTAGGTCACAAAGTATTCACTTAATTTAGTTGCCGAACTGCTATTTTCTCTTACTTGTCACATGCTGTCACTGCTTTTTAATAGCTGCTAAACTGTGATTGGTAAGGGGTGATATGTATTCTATTCTTAAAGCTTGGTTTGTCTTCTGTCAGCACATGAGCAGATATAAGAAAGATACAAGTCAAAATATGCACACTATTTTCATATTACTACTAGCTACTTGATTCTGCTTGCTGTAAGAACAGTGAAAGTTATTTGAGCAAAGTTTTTCTGTGACAAAAGCATAAAAGTAAACATCCAAAATGTTTATTCCAGCTTCTACCAACTGAAGTTTCCAAATCATGCAGAAGATTGACCATAGAAGGAAGCAGACAATAATCACTAGGGAAAAAAAAAAAAACAACTTGTAAAAAGAATGCCTCGGAATGGTTAGTTCAGTCTTACCTGTCAGCAGGAACTTAGGATATATCCTTTGCACTGCAAGATTGCAGTAGCTTGTCCCACAGCAGTAGCCTGATCCAGCCCAAGAGAACACAAAGACAGGAACTTTTCCCACTTTTCTGGGTCTACCAGCAGCTGAAGTAATGAAGGAAGCAGGGCAGAGTACTAAGGACCGGAGTTGCTTCAGCAGAAATCCCAGGCAGAAGAAGTAGGAGGTATACTCTGTCTGTGTCTCACCCAGACTTTTGTTTAAAAGTTTTTTCAACTGTTGCTAGGTGGTGTTAGGCTTTGGCAGTTTAGTTCTCAGATTGTATTTCCCCTCTTCTGGTCTCTTCACACAGTGTTACAGCAATGACTTTGTTGAGCTCAGCTCGCTTGTGCTATATTTAACCAGTGTTCTCAGCAAGTCAAGCCTGTCAACAGCTGAGAAGTTTGGAGCAGGCTTTACTGAGTTCCTCAGCTGCTGAATTATCAGTGGATGTAGCACTACACAGCCCAGCTACTACTACATTCACTGAAAGATTGTGGGGAAACTGTCAAATCCTTTTATGGACTTCCAGTGACTTCATGGGGGTAATTACTATTTAAAGCACTAAGTACAAGATGTGTATTTAGGCATGTATTTTAGACTGGTAGAGAAAGAATACTTGTGTTCACAGCAGATGAGTTCAATTATTTATACAGTGAAGATTTTCCTAAGACATGTAGGAAGTTTATAATTTGAAAGGTATGCACTTCACTTGAGGAAAAATTACATGCGGGGAGAACTTTTTGCAGAATAATTTTTACAGAGTTTAAATATGTTAAGGTGACATAAAGAGAAATTAATGAAAGGCTTAGGCTGGAAAGTTTTCAGTGTGATGTTTATTCCAAAGATAACCTTCTTCTTTTAGACTAAGAACTTCCTATAGGAATTCATACTCTGACTGAAGAAAAGTAAAGCCACACAAGCCCTCATTTGATTGATTTGAAGCAGGCAAGAAGGAGCATTAGGAATCTGTCACTCTAGCATTGTGTACATTTTGGTGTATCCATGCTTGCTTCTGGATCTAATTACTGATGCTTAATTCCAAGTCATAAGTCTCTTAATCAAATGATCAGCAGGAACATCAGACAGCTTTTCAGCCTGCAGACAACCATACATAAATGTTCTACAAATAATTTGCAGTCTTAGAATCCAGAGTAAAGTTCTAGAGAATCATGCCACAACAGCCCCTGTAAACATCCCTGGCAAGGAAAACTGCTGACCCTAACAATTCTTTTCTGACCTGAGTCAAAAAGGGCTCTTTTAGAATGACTTACCTTAGTGACAATTTGCCATATTCATCTAGGGTTAAATGAAGAGGCAGGACAGAAAGAAAGGAAGGAAGAAAAATGTAGAAAGATACCAAAAAATTATTTAATTACTTTCATACTTACACCTGGAAACATGCTATCCTTTCCAGAGCAAAAGCAAGAGATTCAAGCAAATCATAACACTCTTTGTTGACACTGGGCCACTGTATAGATAACAGGATGGACAGCAGAACTGGATCATGCTCTTTAGGGTGCTTTCAACATGTAGGAACCTAATTAGCCACAACTACATGAGATGACAAGGGCTGAGCACAAGCTGTTACAGGAAGCAGCTGTAGCTTGGTGCTGTCTGTCTCTGAAATGAGACAGGATTGCCTTTTGCTTGATTTGTGTTATTTTCTAAACAAGGAAGGAAGAGTGAAGGAATACGTTCATTCGCAATGAGCTTATAAGGAAAACATGTAGTAAATATTAGGTATTATGTCAAATAACTGATATTTAGACATGGATAGTACATTTATAAATGTCCCAAATGCTTCCATTGTATGAAATATATTTTATTTTGGAGACTGAGTAATAAACACTAATTTCATGTTGTCCATTTAAATATTTAACTTGGACAGAATATCTAGAATGTACAAAAATATAAACACTTCTATTTTACAGAAAGAGCTATTTGGAAGATTACTGTAAGAACAGATAATGTATTGGCACAAAGCTTGCTGTTGCATGCTTCCACTTTGAACTGAAGTGAGTTACACATACCCACATTCTAAATTTGTTCTCTCTTATAAAATTAGTGTACATCAATCAGATGAGTAACTTTTTGATGACTTTGGCCTTAACTTCTTACTCAAAGTGCAATATTAATAGCACTTCATTCACCTACAAAAAATTAGGAAACAAAACAATTAACTCGGCTCATAAAACTCACAGAAACCAAATAATTCTCAGCATTTCTCTCCCATTAGCTAGTGGCATACCCACTGTGTGGAAAACAATGCAACTTCTAAGAAGGCAATCTCTGCTGCCAGCCCTTGTGGGTGGTTTTCAACAGTGACCTGCTGATGCAAGGCTGCTACTTCTGGTACACTTGCAATCCTACTCTTTGGCTGTGCACCAAAAAACATCAGTACTATAAAAGTGGGAATTTCAACAAAATTTTGGGAAAACAAAAGATTTTGCAGGTGAATTGAGGAAAATACAAGGACTACAAGGACATCTGCATAGGAAATAATGCAATTAATCTGCATTACTGAAGCTTGTAATTTAGTGTGGTATAAAAATGTTTCACAGTTGCACGTGTATGTATGTAAATGTTTTCCCTACTGCCTTGAGAGAAAAAGATAATTATAAAACATAGGTGATGGAGGCTGGAGAATAAGAAGATAAATTGAACCACAGAAGAGATGTTTGAGCTTGGCATCCTACATGAGGTCCTACTATCAACACAGATCATCCTAAATCGTAGTAACATCCTATAACTATATCTAGAAGGTATGACATCTCCTAATTAAGCAACCAGGGTACAAGAATCCAATGCAAATACTTCCTCAAAAGACAATTATGGAAGCCAAAGTACTCAGCATTATTTCAAACAAAAACCCAAAGCCATGTAAATCAAAGGGGATGGAATTTGGCCTGAGCGAGTGAACAAGAGGAGGAGCAGGTCCTATTCCCACCTTTGGAGATAACGTTAGACAGATATAGAAGACAGACTGTCATTGTTCACAGTGTCATATTTATCTGTGCTTACTTAACCACAAAATGGAAGGCTTTCTTTTTTTTTTTTAACCATAGCTGCTCTAGGGGAATTCATGACTATAGGCAGAAATAACTGGTAGAAAATCCATTCTTTTTTTAATGACAAGTTCAAAACGTATTTCTTCTTCTGACCTTATTGGTCTCTCTTAACCTTAAAATGCGTGTCTGTAAATATGCTTTTTCTGAAATGTGTACAACACTATTACTAAATAATTTTTATTTTAACTCTACATCATTTAGTACATGACTGTCATTCTCCTAAGCCATAGGGCGTGATATCTTCTTCCTTTTCAAATGTTTTACATGATAATTAACTAACTAGCCCAATACAGTAGAAACAATCTAAACAAATGCCTTATTGTTTCCTGAAAAGCTCTACTGTGGATGTAATTTGGTGAAAGCATCCACGGTCAATACTTTATTACACTGCTATTTAAAATATTTTGAAGGGTGAAGAGTCATCAGAACTTTAGTTTCTGAATAATTTATTTTTCATTTGCTTGAAGGGTAGTGTGCCATGGTCTTCTGATACGCTGCTTTCCTAATTCTTATTGTTCCCTTCCATCAATGCTATCTTCTTTTAGGTTGCATTGATGCTTCCAGCTTTGTATAGTCTTTCAAGTCTACCTGGCAGCATGGTGGTTGATCACGTTGTGATTGCCATGGTCTTGGCTGCATCTCCTCAGTCTTTATTTTGAGAAGGGAAGGTTTTTTTTTCTTCTTTCACTTTTGCTGATACTCTTGTCACTTCATGAAACTGATATTGCTTTTTAGACATTAGATCAACTGTAAACCTCAGATTAAGCATCTGCTTTTTTAGAACCAGAAGATAAAACGTTTCTGCCATTTACTTCATAGATTTCATTCAGCTATCTCTTTTGATACTATTGCCAAATCAATGAAACTAATAAAACTTGGTGATGTTCTACAACCCAAATATCTTCCCAGATAGATAAATTCTTTTCCTAAGGGAAGTTAAAAATTAAATTGTATAATTAACACTGCTATTTCTGTTTTACTTATACTTTTTTCTCCCTTTCTTGTTATCTGCAAAACAGATACAATCAATCTTAATTTTGCAAGTTGTAAACATTTCAGATATATTAAAAAAAAAAAAAAAAATCAACACCTTAAGATCCTTGCCACAGCCACAAACTTCCAGGAACACATTCTTGAGCTTTATAATTTTTCCTGTAATAACTTGCTTTATCAAAATATAAAAATAGAGTGTCTTTCATTTTGATTTATCATATGTTGTCTTCATCTATACTCTATCTTCATAAATAATTTTTGTCTTTTTTTTTTTTTTTGTAATTTTAATGAAAGAAATGTTAAAATGCTTGGATATTTCGTTTATTTAAAAATTCTGACATTCTCCATTCTGCCAACAAAAACATCACCATTTCATAAGTCTTTTCCAAATGAAATAAACATAATTCAAAGATTAATACAGACAGATACACAGTCACAACAAGACTGTCAGATGGCCTATCAGGCTTTGAGGGGCACGACACTGTCTGTGACAAAGCACAGTAAAAATAGTGATAATATTATATCATGTTTGGACACTTAAGTCTGAAGCACGAAATCCTGTCACTCATTCCCAACTGGGTCAAATGGAGAGAGTCTGAAGCCTGGGGGAAATGCCTGCTCAGGTCTCTGGAAATGGAACAAATTTGCTCATTTGCTCAGCTGCCACACCCCAGGAATGGTATGCAACTTGCTCAAAGACTGTGATAAAAAATGAGCTGAAGATAGATTGTTTTTAAGGCCAGAATAGACTATTTTGATAATCTAATATAGTCTCCTTCACAGAAATGCAGGGGGATTTTCCTCAAGAACAGCAGCAAATTGCAGTGAATTAAAGCACAACTTTCAGAAAGATTATTTAAATCAAATAGGGATAATCTGAAACATCAACATACAGTGTAGACCAACAGGTAATTATTCTTACTATTTCAAGTTAATGAAAACTTTACTATTTGTTTCCAGTTTGTTGTTGGCTGACTTCAGCTTTCAGCCCATTCAATGGGTAGTCAGCAACACTCAGCCTCTCTCAGTCTGTGGAATTCTAAACATTTTTCTGCAGAGATTAACAGTCCTGTGGAGAAAATCTAAGTCTACAGAAGCTAGACTTGTTTTTCCTGTTCTTCTGTGCCCCCCTTGGAAACAGTGCAGAGATGTCCTTGGATCACAGAATGAAAAAGTTCTCAACTACTTTTCCCTGGTGAAGTTACTGAAGACCAAATTGGTTATGAGGCTTCTCTCTTCCAGACTGAATTCAGTGAGCTTCTTACTATTCCTTAGCAGCTATTTGCATATTGTGAAAGAGTCCACTCAAGTTGCCTACAGCTGTTAAAAAAAAAAATCAAATAAATAAGCAAGTACCGTACTTGTGCAAGCCT